CGATCTATTCGTGTTCATCATCATCATCATCATTACAGCCCTTCATAAGTCCACTGCTGAACATAGGCATCCCCCAAGGTATGCCACTAAGCACGGTCCTGAGCCACCTGCATACATCGACTTCCTGCATGTCTTACGGGGGTCGTCACTCCATCTAGTAAGGGGTCGCCCTACACTTCGCCTACCGGTACGAGGCTGCCACTCGAGAACCCTTCTTCCCCAACTTCTTGTTTGCAGTGACATCAAAAACTACCGTCCTATATCCATACTTTCTTGTATACCTAAGCTGTTTGAATCCCTTGTTTGCCCAATTGTCACGCGCCACTTGGAAAGTCGGATGTCAGAATTTCAACATGGGTTTCGAAAAGGACGTTCTATCAAAACGAACTTGGTGTCATTTATGTCCTATCTAAGTAAAGAAATAGATAGACGCCAACAAGTAGACTGTATATACATGGATTTCTCGAGCGCTTTTGATAAGGTGTGTCACTCGCTTCTTATACATAAATTGAGCGGGTCTGGTATTGGTGGGACCTTACTGGAATGGTTTAATTCATACCTAGCAAAAAGACTTCAGTTTGTGGTGCTGAACGGTCACATATCACATGAGTATGTTGCATGTTCAGGAGTACCACAGGGATCCCACTTAGGCCCTGTTCTCTTCTCGGTGTTTATAAATGACATTACCTCATCTATAAATTACTGTAAATACTCACTTTTTGCCGATGATTTAAAAATATTCAAAACCGTTACTTCAAATAATGATGTGGAGCTCATCCAAGCTGATCTCGATGGAATAAATATGTGGTGCAAATTGAACGGCATGATTATTAATACGAAGAAATCTTATCACATTAAGTACACAAAGAAAAAAGTTCAATTGCCATCATCGTATAAATTAGAGCTAGATACGTTACAGGAGGTTAAGGAGATTCGAGATTTAGGCGTAACAATGGACACGAAATTGAAATTCAAAGTGCACATGGACAAAACTGTAAAAGAAGCGGCCAGGATGTTAGGTTTCCTTAAAAGAAATACCAAAGGATTTGTTTCTCCTCAAACCAAAATAATCCTTTATAACTCACTGGTTCGCAGCAAACTAGAATTTGCATCAGTTGTGTGGAGTCCCCAATACGCGGCACCATCTCAACGTCTGGAGAGACTACAAAGATCCTTTACTAGATACCTGACATATCACACTTCCGGCATCTCTCATAAGCCCACCTATGACTTGCGGCTGAAACACTTTAAAATGATGTCACTTTATAATCGCCGCATAATATTAGATATAACATTCCTCAAAAAGCTGTTGTCAGGACAGATGGCATGCAGTGAATTGCTTAATGAAATAAATTTCAAAATCCCGTACAGATATCCACGAAATCCTCTCACTAACATACTTGTTGTACCAGTAAGTAGAACAAATGCTCTAAAACATTCTCCATTATCAAGGATGTGTTCTGAGTACAATCGATTTTCCGCGTCCATTAAAGATTTTGATATTTTTCATGACTCAGTGACAAATCTAAAAAAAAAGCTTACCGCACATTTTTGTTGGTAAATTAGATTTGTAATTTAATATTTATGCTACTAAATTTCTTCTTTTTGTTATACTTTTGATTTTTTGATTTTTGATTTCTACTTATTAATTTGCTGCAACTCAAAATTTGTAAATTGAAATTTATTTTGAACTTAAATTAATTTAATGTCTTCTAACGAGAGTGATGTATGCACCAGTAATTGGCATGCATACCAAACTATTTATAAGACGAAGATTATTGTAATGTTTTGTATGTTATGCTGTTGGTGTGTCAATAAATAAATAAATAAATAAATAAATAAAAAAACTTCTTCGTGTTGCATCCATAATAATAAAGCAGCATTGCTCTACCACGCTTATTAAATTGTTATAAGTTGTTTCATGTCAATAGTAATGTACTGGTTATTAATAGACTTGCAACGAATAGTATATTCAGCCACACGCCGAATATCGAATATTCTGCGGGCTTCCTGGCCGAATAGCCGCACTGCTGGCCACAAGAATCCTCTCATGTCTGAAAGGGTTTTAGGGCAAGGAAATGTCTGCCGCGCTGCCCGAATGCATGTTGGCGGACTTCGCACGTCTTCGAAATATTTATTTTTTCTTATTTCTCGAATATGTAGGTTTCCTCACGTTTTCTTGCACTCTCACTTTCTTTTTTATAGGATAGGGTGACAAACGAGCACACAGTCCACCTGATGGTAAGTGGTTGCTGTAGCCCATAGACATCTACATCTATCATCGATTACGAATCAAAATTATTTGGTAGATCATAACGTATTACTTAAAAAGCTAGCAGGTGTGGGTTTTACCCCATATTTACTGCACTTTTTTGCTAGTCATATGTCTGATAGGCAGCAATATGTAGAATATGCGGGACATCAGTCAGAGCCATATTTCACATGGTCCGGGGTAAGTCAGGGTAGTAACCTTGGTCCTTTGGAGTTCTTGCTGATGATAAACGACCTACCAGAAGTGGTGAAGGACGCTAAGTGTTTATTGTTTGCTGACGACCTCAAATTGTCTCTTGCGGTAAAAATGGGGATGACTGTGTCAGACTACAAAGGGACGTAGACAGGGTTGTGCGTTGGAGCAAAGACAATCTCTTGCAATTTAACAGCTCTAAGTGTGTGTTAATTACTTTCTGTCGCGCACACACTCCTATTTTGCATAATTATCACATTGAGGGGCTGCTGATGACGAGGGTCAGAGAAGTTAAGGATTTAGGAGTAATTTTTAATACAAAACTTACTTTCTATGATCACATCATGAGCATCTGTAAAAAAGCTTATAGAAATCTAGGATTTATGCTTCGTACAGTGAGAGGATTCACAAACATAAAAGCGATTATCACCTTATATAATGCATTGGTAAGGAGTCAACTTGAATGTAATGCAGTCATCTGGGCTCCGCACGAAACTAAGTATAGTCTCATGCTAGAGCGAGTACAAAATAAATTCATTAGATATTTATATATGCGTTATTATGGTGTCTACCCAATTTACCCTTTAATGTATCCAACTTTATTTATATTAGGTATGGTAGGATATAATGAACTGAGGGTTAGGAGGGAACTCGCGCTCACCTCGTATATTTTTAAAATACTGCGAGGAAGATTGTTTAATGCTGAGATATTAGGGCAGCTTAATCTGTATGTTCCTGAGAGGTATGTGTGGCGCCGACGGCAGCCACGACTGTTGGTGGAGCCGCGAGGTCGCACCAACCTCCTGAGTGAGGCACCTCTGACGCGCGCACTCCGCACGCTCAACGTAATAGCTTGTGAGACGGACCTATTTTGTTGTACTCTGAGTGAATTCACAAAGACAGCATTGTTTGTAATTTGTTACAAAAATTAAATCTAACACTTAAATCTACACAAATCAGTTAGACAGCTACACTATCGCATTAGGTAATCCTGTAATGATAGTTGTAAGTTTCAGAAATAAATAAATAAATAAAATGCAGATGCGTTGTCACCCGTGAGGACTAAGAGGGAATGCCTCGTTTCCAGTAAAAAGGATCTCTGGTTCTCTACACCTACCATACGAAACATAGCAGCATTAAGCTACTATTTTACGCCGGTTTTCTCCGCCGTTATGAGAGCGTGGTCCCTCCCCGGTCGAGCCGACCCATTCGTGCTACAACTATACTACTAATAAAACTGCAGCATGGCTCTACCACGTAACAAAACTGCCGAGCACCTGGTAAATCTGCAGGAAGCCCGCCGAATATTTGGTATTCGGCGTGTGGCCGAATTTACTACGCGTTGCAAGTCTAATCACATATGATCTCCCGGTTACAATAGTGCCTGCTTTCAAATAGGTTTACAATTTATTTATGTTGATGATCTTCGATGCGATACCCATTTGTATATTTGTTGGATAAATATTATGATAATTTTATTAAGGCAATTAATTTTAAAATGCTGCAAAATTTATTAAGGCAATTAATTTACAAAAATGATCGTTTGTCGCTATGTGCGACACAGGCACAAAATAAAATAATCCCCCTCGAACGGGTTCCCGCCTTGTCGTGGTGGGGGGGCTTAGTAGCCGTGGCTTGGTCTCCCAAAGTGAACAAAGAGGAACCCACGTGGCTGGCCCGAGGTGAAGGGCCGGCCTGAGGTGGCCACTCCGAGTGGGCTTGGGGAGCCCACTTCGGATGTGTGCTGGTGGACTGCAGCGAGTGGGGACTCCGCACCCCTTACCGCTGCAGCCGAGGTGGAGTCGCGGTGGAAGAGGAGTGTTGGTATGGCGATGCGCCACTCGCCCTATCCTCCGCGACTCAAACGGGGCCGCACCGTTGATGCGGTGGTGATGGGGCTGCGGGGGGGAGAGGATTGTCGGTATTGCGAGGCGCCGCTCTCGCTATCCTCCGCAGCCGAATCTTGGTTCGCGGCGGAGCCATAGACCAGATCCGCCGCTGGGGTCAGGAAGGCTAGTACTTCTAAGTGCTCGTTTTTCCTGGCCCCATGGCCTTCGCGCATCGGACGCGGGGGGCATCTGTTGAGCAGATGCAATTGGAGGCCGTGGAGGAAGGCGTGCCATGTGTTCTGGTGCGCCTTACTTGGGAAGGAGAACGGGGAGGAATATTCCTCTCCCGAGGAGGTGCTGCCATGGGGCGGCAGTCGCTGGTAGGGCCGCGGAAGTGTGCGAAAGCGTTCCCGTAGCCCTGCCAATATGCGACGAAAGTGGAACACCATGGGGTTTTAGTCGGTGCGAGTCCGACATAACCCGTCCTTGCCCCCGCGAGGCTGGTATGCGTAGGCATTTCCCCATGTTAAAAAAAAGGCATAAAATAATGCGAGGTTGAAATCACCACGTTCGTGAGAGTTGCCAAAGAGTGAGGTATTATTTTAAATGTTGGCTGTGTCTGGTGAGATTTATAAAAACATGGTGGAGAGTCGTAGAGTTTTTAAAAGTAAGTTGAGGTGTGGCAGAACAACGAAGACCAAATAAGAATGGACAAATTAGCTTCACATCGTGCAGATAAAATTTTTGTTAAAGTCTGGAAAGCAACAAAACGTCTTGACTTTAAATCTAGCTTACCTGCGTATATAAATGGTGTGCACGAACCAAAGTCAATTACCGACTTGTTTTTGCACCACTTCGAAGTTGATCCCTCGCCAGCTAGAAACGTACAGCAGTATGCTGCTATGCCCGTTGACATTAACAGTACCGAGGAAGCTACCTAGGAATAGAGTTCACACTGGACGTTGTAGAAAAAATTATTCAAAAAATGAAGAGGGGTAAAGCTCCAGGTTTTGATGGACTGAGCTTATATAACATATTTTATTTACAGGTTTGGACATTTTTAGTGTTTTGGCAGAATTATTTAAGTTTTATGTCAATTCTGGATATTTGCCGAAAAATCTCATACAGTGGTGGTACCAATCCCTAAAAATAAATCCGGTGACCTTTCTAGTCTTAAAAACTACCGGCCGATTTCTTTAGGGACCATTATAGGTAAAATTTTGGCAAGGCTGTTACACCCGAGTATAAGCAACAACATTGAGATTGTCGACGCGCAGTTTACTTTTCGTTCCGGACTTTCAACAGATTCTGCAGTCTTCAGTCTTAAGTCGACAGTTAACTACTATATAAACTGTATGTATGTGCATACTTGAGTTTTAGACCTTAGTCGTGATCTAATCAACTATCAGCCACTATGGCAAAAACTAATATCATCAAATGTACGGAAAAAGACTGTGGATCTGTTGAATTACTGGTACGAGAACCAGACAAACTTTGTGAAGTGGGGTGACGCCATCTATAATGATTATATATTAGAGTGTGGCATACGTCAAGGTGGGCTGACCTCTCTGGACCCCTTTAACTTATACGTAAACGACCTGATTGAGGAACTTTGAAGTACAAAAATTTGTTGCCACGTAGGTAAAATTTGTCTGAATAATCTCAGCTACGCTGACCACATGGTGCTACTGAGTCCCTCAATCAGGGGACTTAGAAGGTTATTAGCCATATGCTAACATTATTCGCGGGATCATGGCCTGAAGTATAACGTTAAAAAAACGCAAATGATGGTGTTCCGCTCGAGCAGGGGCCTGGAGAGGATACCGTTGGTATTTCTGGACGGTGAACCTAGTGCAAGAGTGGATCTATTCAGGTACCTGAATAGATAGGGGCATATCCTGACTAAGGTGTGTGATAGACCCGATATAGAACGCGAATGGAGGGCTCTGGCTGTTCGGTATAATATGCTTGCGCGCCGGTTTGCGCGGTGCAGTTCTGAGGCAAAGCTGACCCTGTTTAGAGCATATTGTGAATGCTTCTATACTTGTCAGCTTTGGTTGGACAGCACCAAAAATTCATGTAGCAGCATTATAGTGCAGTATAATAATGCATGTAGCAGAATTATAGTGCAGTATAATAACGCATGTAGCAGCATTATAGTGCAGTATAATAATTCAAATAGCAGCATTATAGTGCAGTATAATAATGCATGTAGCAGCATCATAGTGCAGTATAATAATGCATGTAGCAGCATTATAGTGCAGTATAATACGCAAGTTGATATTATGTGCAGTATAATAATGCATGTAGCAGCATTATAGTGCAGTATAATATGCGTAGCAGCATTATAGAACAGTATAATAATGCAAGTTGCAGAATTATAGTGCAGTATAATAAAGCATGTAGCAGCAATATAGTGCAGTATAATAATGCATGTAGCAGCATTATAGTGCCGTATAATAACGCATGTAGCAGCATTATAGTGCAGTATAATAGTGCAAATAGCAGCACTATAGTGCAGTATAATAATGCATATATCAGCATTATAGTGCAGTATAATAATGCATGTAGCAGCATTACACTGCAGTATAATAATGCATGTAGCAGAATTATAGTGCAGTATAATAATGCATGTAGCAGCATTATAGTGCAGTATAATAATGCATGTAGCAGCATTATAGTGCAGTATAATAACGCAAGTTGCATAATTATAGTGCAGTATAATAATGCATGTAGCAGCATTATAGTGCAGTATAATAACGCATGTAGCAGCATTATAGTGCAGTATAATAATGCAAATAGCAGAATTATAGTGCAGTATAATAATGCATGTAGCAGCATTATAGTGCAGTATAATAATACATGTAGCAGCATTATAGTGCAGTATAATAATGCATGTAGCAGCATTATAGTGCAGTATAATAATGCATGTAGCAGCATTATAGTGCAGTATAATAACGCATGTAGCAGCATTATAGTGCAGTATAATAATGCAAATAGCAGCATTATAGTGCAGTATAATAATGCATGTAGCAGCATCATAGTGCAGTATAATAATACATGTAGCAGCATTATAGTGCAGTATAATAATACATGTAGCAGCATTATAGTGCAGTATAATAATGCATGTAGCAGCATTATAGTGCAGTATAATAATGCATGTAGCAGAATTATAATGCAGTATAATAATGCATGTAGCTGCATTATAGTGCAGTATAATAATGCATGTAGCAGCATTATAGTGCAGTATAATAATGCATGTAGCAGCATTATAGAACAGTATAATAATGCAAGTTGCAGAATTATAGTGCAGTATAATAAAGCATGTAGCAGCATTATAGTGCAGTATAATAATGCAAATAGCAGCATTATAATGCAGTATAATGATGCATGTAGCAGCATTATAGTGCAGTATAATAATGCATGTAGCAGCATTATAGTGCAGTATAATAGTGCAAATAGCAGCACTATAGTGCAGTATAATAATGCATATAGCAGCATTATAGTGCAGTATAATAATGCATGTAGCAGCATTACAGAACAGTATAATAATTCATGTAGCAGAATTATAGTGCAGTATAATAATGCATGTAGCAGCATTATAGTGCAGTATAATAATGCATGTAGCAGCATTATAGTGCAGTATAATAATGCAAGTTGCATAATTATAGTGCAGTATAATAATGCATGTAGCAGCATTATAGTGCAGTATAATAGTGCAAATAGCAGCACTATAGTGCAGTATAATAATGCATATATCAGCATTATAGTGCAGTATAATAATGCATGTAGCAGCATCACACTGCTGTATAATAATGCATGTAGCAGAATTATAGTGCAGTATAATAATGCATGTAGCAGCATTATAGTGCAGTATAATAATGCATGTAGCAGCATTATAGTGCAGTATAATAATGCATGTTGCAGCATTATAGTGCAGTATAATAATGCATACCGCATTCTGATGAAGCTGCCTAAATACTGCAGTGCGTCGAGCATGTTTGTCGACGCCAGGTTGCCCGATTACTTCGCGGCACATGTTATGTGAGTTTAACATTTTTACACATTAAAAAAAATGAAACACAAAATGCGAATCGAATAGCCAGTATTGAATCAAATATAAACACTCCATTTAATTTTGAACCGCAACTGGTTTAATATTTCGTATAGTCTACAAAACTTTACTTAGCCTAATTTATAATTTCAGCCATTACAAAAGTAGCGGAGTACTACACAACTAAAACTGAACCTTATTTTTCATGGGAATATAATATTCCCATGAAAAATAAGGTTCATTACATACATCATTACATTTTACTCTTTATTTGGTATGCTTATACACATTTTGAATTAAATCAAATTAAGTCAACCGAAGCAATTTTACTTCCAAGCGTAGTACTATTAAGTTGGTATAGATGGCGTTTAAAGCTTTTATAAATCTATGATGTGTAGATTAGAAACCAATAGTAAAATAGTACCTATTTACTGGGATTAATTTATCGACTTCAAAACTTAATAAAATCCCCCTTTTTTAATTAGGGTGAATTGCAACTAAGATAATTCGTGTAAAACTGTAAAATAATGTAAAATATGACTTTAGATACATCACGAGTCTTCTGTCAATAAAGTAGGTCAAGGTTAAATGGCTTTGATGTGTTCTGTTGTAGTTTTTAAATGTAGAAGAAATATGTCATTAAAAACAAATTCTACGTTATAGGACAGCAAAAAATTACTGTGTAACTTTTGTACAATATTTTGTTTCAAGAGCAAAGTTATTAATACCAATTTAAACAATTTCAAGCTTTCTAAAAATTTTCAAATGGCAACACTACATGAGCTTATTTTTGGGTCACTCTGTTGCTCGCTTCCAACTTGTACTTCGTTTGGATTTTTATAGAGGTGCCTTTCGCTTCACTAAACTTGCACTTGCAACATAGCATAGTTTTAGTTTAGTATTTTCATTCTATTGAGAAAGCTGGCGGGTGTGCAAATGTGTTAAAATATACTAAACGAAAGTGTTGCAAATTCATATTAAACGAGTCATATGTATATATTTTAACAAATAGTTGATGATATAGATAAGGTAAGTTACAAAGTGCCAGTGTGAATGTGATAAGTGCTTACTTACCTACTGCTACGACTTTTCATCTTGAAAATTTCCACTTGTGAACTTTTAAAAGTAAAGTTTCTATGAAGTTTCTTTGTTGACTTTTAACTTTTTTGGAAGTTTGTCTTATTGCATGGTGATGGTGAACTTGTTTTTATTATGAGCGTCACGAAAACTTTGCCCAGAAAATAGTAAAACTTAGAATTTTCGTCGCCATTTTATTTTTTGTCGCGCTGGAAAAGCGGCCATTTTCTTTGTGCCGCGTCGCTTACGACAAGTCGTATGTGGTCCATAAAGTTAATTTAGTTAAGTTGAGGCGTGATCTCATCATATGAAGTGATTTGGTGAGATAATTTACTTAAGAAAATTGATAATCATATTCAGTAGTTTGTTTGTGTTTATAGTAAAGTTTTCGTGTTGGCCTAATTACTGCGTGCTGTTTAGAATTAGTGTTGATCAAGTACTTTGGTGTCGTAGGGTTGAGGGCGCGGCGAGTGGCGAGGCGGCATTATGGACGACGACCAGCAGTTTTGTCTGCGGTGGAACAACCACCAGTCAACTCTGGTGTCCGTGTTTGACACGTTATTGGAGAAGGGCATTCATGTGGATTGTACCCTAGCTGCTGAAGGACAGATGCTCAAAGCACATAAAGTAGTTCTGGCCGCTGCAGTCCATATTTCGAGGTTGGTATCACTTAGTGGTTTAATGCTATGTAGGTCAATTACTATCACGAGTAACTTGTAAGGCAGCACAGATTTGCTCTAATAAACATTCCAGTTGCTGCGCATTAGCTTTCATGTGTTAGCAATTAGTTTTAGATTCATGCACTGATGA